TGCATGTCACATAAACAATTCCTGGCGTTCTGACTGGAATGGGCCCTGGCATTTGTAAATCTGTTATCTCCATTCTGCATCATTCTGCTAGATGTTTAAAAGGACTCAGTTGCCCATAAATACTTGCGTCGGTTGTGCATGCATAGTGGTACAGAAGATGCAGATGCATGTGATCGAGAATGAAATGTACGAGCCGGGGGGCCAGTTCTTGCAGTAACTTCACCTGCAAGAAGATACAAAATATTAACCGAAACTCTCAAAATGGAAGTTCTGGGTGGTATAAGATAAAGTTAAAAAAGGAAAAAATGTGGGGTGGCCGAGTGTAAGACGAGGATAGATGTATCTGTAGTGACAATGAAGTTTAAAGATAACACGTGGTGGTCATAATTTTAATCTTAAGGTTGTTGGATAAGAACGAGATAAGTGAGATGCTTTTTTTAATATTGTGGCACAGGTTGAGGGTCTGATGCGGCTTATGGAGGGAGAGCATGTGGGACCTTTCAATCTCGGAAATCCTGGTGAATTCACCATGCTCGAACTTGCCAAGGTAAGCTCTGCCTTTGTTCTTAATGATAATAAAGATTCTTAAAACCAGACCAATGTAATTGGCTGGTGGTAAGGCATATGCAGGTATGACCATGAATTTTACCAAACAAACGAATGATGCTGGTGATGCAGGTGGTGCAAGAGACAATAGACCCAGATGCAAAAATAGAGTACAAGCCCAACACAGAGGATGACCCACACAAGAGGAAGCCTGACATTTCAAGGGCCAAGGAGCTATTAGGGTGGGAGCCCAAGGTGTCCCTGCGCAAGGGACTGCCTTTAATGGTTTCTGACTTCCGACAACGCATTTTTGGTGACCACAAGGAAGGTGCAACCTCCACCTAATTCTTGGTTGGAACCACCAATTTAACACAGAAAAGGGGAGCGTGGTTGTAGTTTGCAGGCAGAGTTAGGGGGTCTTTCCCCATATCCTCATCCTCAAGATCCATCACTTTATGGATTTTCGTATTTACCCTTTTCAAGATTGGTAGCCAAGCCAGAGGGAGGGTCACATTTCTTACATTTCTACCCCGTCCATTTTTTGTTTTTTTGTTTTTGTTTTTGCTTTGTTGGGATGTTTATGTATAAGATATTAGTTATACTTATTATTCTTGTTATTATTATACGCATTTACATTTTTATTGATTCCGCGATTTCTTTTCCACCCGCCCCAATATCATTGCATGCTTGATCTTTGCCGGGTTCTGTACCCGAGTCAGATAATATTGGCATATGATGTTCCTCTGAATAGAACTCTCAAGGCAAATATATATGGATCTCCTGTGATTGTAATCTTCTCCTCATTCTCATGTATCTTCCAAATAATCTATCTTTTCAACATTGCGTTGAGGTAGTATGGCTTCTGTGTCTTTATGAAATGAAGCCAATCGTTCTATTGGACAAAAAAAGAACCTCATCCGCAAGAGGCGAGAGGAAATTTCATGCAATGTTTGCAGAATTATGGGAAACGTATTATCGTGGTAGAAATGCTTTTCATCATTAACGAATGAAAATTTCACAATTACGCAAGATCTACTGCGTCATAGCTCACAGTCACAGACCCCATTACGCGGTAGGCATTTTTTTGTTTATTAAGGAACAAAAGGATACAAAGGTTCATTAATTGAACACCGTTAACTTTCGGCGGTGATGCAGCTGTTGTGAAATAATTAAAGAGGCTATGGTCCGCTGCAGCCAAGCCATGGTGCAAACAACGACAATTTTGGTTGCCTTTGTGCCTGAATTCCTAATACATGCCCTGGTTACTTCTCGGCGTCTGTCTCACTACGCCCGTTCTATTGCAAACGCATGCCAGCACGCCTATCCAAAATTCAGCCAACTCCACCAGTAACTCGTCTCAACCAGTTTGACTTGTCCCATTTTTTTCAGAAGCCAGCTAGCTGATGAATAAGTACTGACACCTGGGTGGAACTGATGAATAAGAATGCTCTTACCAGAGAAAGTTCAGTCCTGTTATCAAATGCGGTTTCAGAAAACGTCAGGGATATAAAACCATAGGGCGATCAAGGACCAAGGCCTCCTTCGGGCTGATTCCGACACGCGAGCATCAAATTTTCAATGTTAAAAGGCAGACCTTAGATACGAGCAAAATAAACATCTGATGGAAAATAATCTGGTTCTCATAACTGATATGACCTGTTTGTTCACACCTATGCAATTTTATGATATAGAAGATAACAATTCTACAACTGTCACTGCAATAGTAACAGATCGACTGCTTTTCAGTAAATCATCCATCGACTTGTAATGCTTGAACCGCGTACAATATGGTTCTGCACAATTACAAGGAGGACAAAAAACCATGCCCACTCTAACCACCCGTTTTTCCTTAGATATGAGAAAGATATGCTGTTAAAGAACAAATACAGTTGTTGGCGTACGCTAGGAAAGCCCGAATTCTCGAATATGTTACTCTTCTGTCCATGCTTCGAAGGAATGTCATTTCAAGATGTTCTAGAGTAGTCAGCGGCAGCACTGAAAGCTGAAACCAAACAAGCCATCCCAATTACCTGCGTCCAGTTTCTTGTCCCAGAAGCAACGGCTGCACCTGCTACAGCACCCGCAATCAAACCATTGACCTGTCAGAAAATTTTCAAATAGAAGGAAAAAGGTAAATCAAAATTCATTCTTTAACAATCCGTTTGGCTATCTTCAAAATGTATTCTTCATCAACTGTTAAATTCCTGCATATCCAACGACAGTTTATGAATATATATATCTATAGGGTGAAATGTTTTTCTCCAACAAAAATGCCAGAACTTAAAAAATCTCCCTTATCAGATTCTATTGTGGAAGTCACAATTTTTCTGAAGAATTCACCATGCATAACATCATGAAAAATGGATACAAATGATTGGCTGCTACTTAGTATCAGCAATTGGTATGAAGAAAGTATTTCAAAATATAAAATTTAGATATTTGCACCCTGTCAATAGGGAACCATGATATATGTTTGAACTAGATTTCATTTTAAGAGAGTTAAAAATGCACTATCTCGTAAGACTGTCCAGAACCAAAATGGTGGGTGTAAATTCTCTCCATTTCCGGGGAAAATGCACTGCAACCATTTCAATTAATTTCAAACTTTCAAGAATTCTAATGCTCAAACTAAGCCACACTATTGTTGATGTGCTGTAAGCTGGTCTACATTAAGGCATCAGGGTCTGCCATGATCGCTGTGATGGAAATTGTTGGGACGGTAGATGAAACGAATAAAAGAAATTCTGACACACTAGGTCTGAAACCTGCTGCAGTGGAACACAATTTTAACAGAAAAGTCTTGTCTGTGGTCAAGCAGTTAACAAGAATTTCAGGCCTTAAGCCCCTTAAAGATAACTCAGGTGACAAGAGTTGAGGTCAATCCAGGCCCTGATATTGTCCCACGTGTGGATCGTCTGGACACGCAAACTATAGGTAACATACCATCAGAATGCAAACACAAGATCACAGATCACATAAAGCTGCTAGTTCAGTCAAAGAAGTCAAACTAGAGATAAATCGTATGGTTTGTTGGAGAAATATGAAATTCATTTTGGGATGATCCAACACAATCAAGATTACTTAATGCTAAATTTTATACATTAAACAAGAACTAATCACATCATGGTTTTACACCATCATCTCGGTATCTTTGTCAGACATGACTACTAATCATTGAAACCGTCAGTCAATCTCATAACCACAATATAAAGCAAGAACTATATAAACTCAATGAACACAACTTGTGGATGAAATTTATGAAGGGGGAAAAAAATTATTGGAAAGTTTGTTTCTACCATCATTTGTGAAGTACAAAGTCTAAGTTTTACAGTGGATCTACATTTATTCAAGATTGATCATGCAGAACACTTGAACCATCGCTTTAGCTGGTCAAAATGAAGAGAAATTCAAGCCCATTTGTATCAAGTCGTTTTCCTAACGATTTCAAAAATAACCGAAGAATAAATAAGACAGAACTAACCCAATCATCCTGACTCCTGTATCTCTGAATCCCACATCGAGTAATGCTAAAAATTCCAGCCACAAGTCCTAACATTGAAATTAAAATAAAGCGTGTTAAAATAAAAAGCCTTAAAAAACGCTAGAACAACACAAACAATCAATTTTCTTAGTTCAATTACCACATTGAAACCCGAATCTGCCGACTGAGTTAGCCTGTATTAAGCGTCATCAGCTAATTGTGATGGAAATCCAAGTACCAGTTTTTCAAAATAAAAACTTCCTTACCACAAAAGAAGCTCGGGCAAGGCCAGTAAAACCTGCAAACATGGAAGTCTACTTCATTCGACCTAGTTCAGAATCGAAGTGATACTTGGATATTGATACAATGAATACCGAACCTTGTTTACGAGCGTCATAGGGACCACTGCACAGGCCCCAGATAGCACCAGCCTGAAGCAGAATTTAGCATTTACAAAATCATTTAATCTTCATGTATCGAGCAAGAACCGTAAGTATGGAAATAAAGGAGCAAATGCAACTAGGATAGACGTTTTTACCGTTCCGACGCGGATGATTGACTCAACGGCGAGGGAAGAGCACGGAACGACGCCGTATACGTCGTCTTCCATCTTCCATTCCCCGATCCTCTCCTTGCCAGGCATCAGAGCGGCGGGTTCCCAACTTGAAATGATGGAATGTACTTTAAGTGGGCCCTCTACACACGTGTTGTTAATGGCCCAACCCAGTAAAAATTATCCAACAATGTTATTGGGCCTCTAGCAGAGAAGGAGAGAATAAGAGAACGAGGTTTATTCATTAAATTTTTCGGCCGAGGGTTTATTCATTAAAAATAAAATAATAAAAATAGGCCCAAAAGAGTACTTGTGCAACCCACAAGAAGGATTAAAAAAAAAACAGGGAGAGAGAGAGAGGACACTAGATGTTGTCGTTTTTTACCCCAGAAACCCTAAAATCTGTGAGGGAAACCATTAAAAGCATATTGCGATTGAGGCCGCCCCCGTCTCTCTTCACCATCCCTGGGATTCAGAGCGTAATCGGAGACGCGAAAATGAGCCGCAAAGCATCTACAGGGGCTAAGGGCAAGAAGAAGGGAGCCACCTTCGTGATCGACTGTGCGAAACCAGTTGAAGATAAGATCATGGACATCGCTTCTCTGGAGAAATTCCTTCAGGAGAGGATTAAAGTTGGTGGCAAGGCTGGTGCTCTTGGCGATTCCGTCACTGTTAGTCGCGACAAGAGCAAGATTACCGTCACCTCCGACAGCAACTTCTCCAAGAGGTAACTTTTTCGTCTTCACTCTTCAATGATGTTTTTAGTTCCGGCTGCAGCGTTTAGTTTTTTCATGTGACAATGCTTGCTCATGGGCGATGGATTTCGACCCCCTTGACTGCGCCTCATTTAATGAATATTCTTTTCAAATTGCAATTCATTATTACTTGATGTCGTCGCTCTAATAGATCAGTTGAACAAGAGATCAGAAGTAGCACCACGGTCTTGGCTCTGAGATCAAAATGATATATTTATGTGGCCTGTTACTTTTCAACGTCATTAGCTGTGACATATTCTCAAATTTTTTTTAATGCTATCTTTCGGCGTAAGATGCAAAAGATGGAGATGCCGTAATCGTAGAATTGATTGTGTTTTATTTTGTGATATTCCCCCAAGTGTATCTGACGAATAATTGTTTTATTTTCATATTCTCTCAACTATATACAATGTCATCTCTCATGTTTCAAAGCAATAAAGTAAATTTATGCCTTCTGCTTTGTTATGTCTTCTACCGTGATGAGAAAAGACATAGACATACCTAGCAAAACTTTTTCTTGGTTAGGTGGAATGGTTGTTCCAGTGACCATTCAATTGATGAGTGTGGGAGGGAAGCAGAAAAGAGATAGACACGCCTAGTAACAATACATTAGTTTCATGATAGAACAGTTGTGTGTTCAAATTTTATGTGTTCTCTTATCTAGTGATTAGATTTCAAAACCTCGCGATATATGCTTATATCTTTTTTTCTTGGTTTCACCTTTTCAGATATCTGAAATATTTAACTAAGAAGTATTTGAAGAAGCACAACGTGAGGGATTGGCTTCGGGTTATTGCTGCTAACAAGGATCGCAATATTTATGAGCTCAGATACTTCAACATTGCTGAGAATGAGGGCGAGGATGAAGACTAAATATGTCTTTAGCTGCGTTGATTAATTATGTGTTACGTTAGGCTTAGTTATTGTGGAATCGTGTTTATCAGTTTTGACTATTGGCTTGCCAACTGTTCTTCCATATTCTTGCGTTTCTTTTATGTTCAGCCTTATGTCCTTACGTTGTTTTATAGACATTATTGGCGAGGTCATCTCAAGAACTTTTAGATATTCGTGCTGCATTTATAGTGGAGATCCTCTTCATCTTTTTCTTTTTCTCCCAAAAAACAAAATGAGTGACAAACCCTAACAGTATGATATGATGCCTTTGGCATGTTGGGGATTAAGTCTGCAAGCTCTCACAGGAGCTCCCATGCCACTAGGATTAAGTTTTTTTTTAAAAAATCAACGGGAATTAAGTCTGCAAGCTCTCGCAGTGGCTTCCATGCTGCTGGAATATAATGCCTTTAGCATATTGAGGATCTTGTTTTTGGTTGGCATTTTGAAAGTGTCTGTGTGGAAACTAAATCAGGTATTAAAAGTGACTGTAAGAGGAGTATTATTTGCGCGAAGCTTTTTTTTTTTGTTTTTAAGTTAGTGTTCTTTTGGTTTCCAGACATTTTTTAACTCTATTACTGTGTACGTATTGTTTACCAGGGCTTTGCTCGTGTGTGGTTTTTTTTTTTTCATTTTCTTTTCTTTCCTTACCCCCAACTCTTCTAAACACGCTCTCTTTTTCTTTTGGGGTGTTTATAGAGCGTTTCATTGGTTAAGCGTTCTGGCAGAGTGGCAGATATGGGACTCAGGTCGGGGGGACTAAGCATCAAATTAAATGAGTCATCAAAAGAACTTCCTTAAACTGGATGGATCATCTAAAGGTTACAGAATGCTTAGAAATAGTGAGAACTGTCTCAAGCCTCGGCTTGTCCTTATTTCCCAAAAAAAAAAAAAAAGAAATAGTGAGAACTGAGAACATGATGCGAGATTTAGTTATATTTTTCTTAATATAAAATTTAATTGACTAATTTGAAAAAATTAAAAGAGTGAATTAAATTACTTAGTTATAATATTTTATGTCATTTTTAAAAAATGTTTATATGTATTATTAGATTACATATTAATTTATAAATAAAAAAATAATTTGAAGAAAGTAAATATTTTTAAATAATTTATTTAATTTTTTAACAATTAGCCAGCTAGAGTAGAATTTGTTAAAAGCAGGAAAAATAAAAGGGGCATTTGCCTGTGGGATGCAGATTCTCAATGGAAGCAGTGTTAAAGCCTAACAACGGCTTGGGTCTTGCCAGTGCTTCACAGTCCGTCTGCTGAAGGTTGGAAAGTAGTCCAGTTTGAAATCCACCCAAGTGATGAAACTAAACATGACCAGTCTCGTCAATCGTCAAATGACAAGGTTTGTTAGGCGTCAGGACAGTTAGGGTTTCCTATGTGCGATTTGCTTGTTTCTAACTCAATTCCGAGGGTTTAGCTAATTTTCACTCTGCATATCTTAAGCTCAATGCTCTTCTTCTTCTTCTTTTTTTCCTAATAATAAATTATTTTTAGCCTTCAATCTTTACTATGAGTCCTTTATCTTAATAGTTTTGATTTTATTATTGAAGTTACCCTTGAGATTAAAATGTCAATTCTTTGTGCAAAAACTTTTTTTAAATATACAATGATTTATAAATGATAATTTATTAAGTAAATATTTTGAATTTAATTTATTAATCGTTATAATGATTTTTCTTTTGCAAAAAAAAATCAATTGATTTGCTAAATTAGTCTGAATCAAATTAAAATGATTACGGGATAAAATTAATGAAGTAGTTCTATATAACCAGAAGTTAAGTTGCTAAAAAAAGGCGTTGAAGAAAATTAATACCATGGTAACTTCAATTTCTGAGCGTCTGGCCAAAAAAAAATCTCGGTGTCAAGTTTCGGCCAGCGATGGTGGCGCTAAAAAAAAAAACGGCGGAAGGGAAAAAAATCGCGGCCTGTAGTCCGAACTGCACTTCGATCCAAATTTAACAAAACGAGCCCTTGTTGCGTTGGCCGGCGGCTGGAACAACCTCCCGTCGTCAATGACCTATGCGGGCATCCCCGAAACTGGTTTCTTCTACGCACCCAAGTCTTCATCTTCTACATCCCACCGTTGAATCTTGGGTCTGGAATACCCTCATTCGAGCCAGAGTTCACCATTCAGCCGTCTCATCACATTCTTCATTCATCGTGTACCGCCGCATGCGCTTCCATGGCGTCGTGCCCGATCTTCACACCTATCCTTTCCTTCTCCAATCCTTTAAATCCCCATCTCATCTTCGTCCTGGACAACAAGTTCATGCTCAAGCATTCCTATTTGGTCTATCAAATGACCCGTTCGTGCAAACATCTCTTATCAATATGTACTCGTCTTGTGGTGATCTGATTCTTGCCCGCCAAGTATTTGATGAAATCCCTGAGCCCGACTTGCCGTCTTGGAATTCCATTATCCATGCAAATGCTAAGGTGGGTATGATTGATGCTGCAAGGAAACTGTTTGACGAGATGCCTCAGAGGGATGTCATATCGTGGAGCTGTATGATTAATGGTTATGTAAGTTGTGGTGAGTATAAGGCGGCACTTTCCTTATTTTGTGACTTGCAGATGTTCGGAGGTCTGAATCTTCAACCAAATGAGTTCACTATTTCAGCCGTACTCTCAGCTTGTGGACGGCTAGGTGCTCTTGAACAGGGTAAATGGCTTCATGCTTATATTGATAAGCGTGGGATGAAAGTTGATGTCGTCTTAGGGACATCATTGATAGACATGTATGCAAAATGCGGAGACATTGAAAAATCGAAATTAATGTTTGATGTTTTGGGCCCTGAAAAAGATGTAATGGCTTGGAGTGCAATGATCTCTGCCTTGGCCATCCATGGACGTGCAGAGGAGTGCCTCGAATTATTTGCAAGGATGATAAATAATGGGGTGAGGCCTAACGCTGTGACATTTGTGGGTGTGCTTTGTGCCTGTGTGCATGGAGGTTTGGTAAGTGAAGGAATAGAATATTTCAATAGGATGACGAAAGAATTTGGTATTATTCCTCTGATCCAACATTATGGCTGCATGGTTGACCTATATAGTAGGGCTGGTAGAGTTGAGGAAGCTCAGAGCGTAGTGAAATCCATGCCTATGGAACCTGATGTACTAATCTGGGGATCTCTACTTAGTGGAGCTAGGATGCATGGAGACACTGAAACCTGCGAGGTCTCGTTGAAGAAACTTGTTGAGTTGGACCCTTCAAATAGCAGCGCGTACGTGCTTCTTTCTAATGTGTATGCAAAGCTGGGAAGGTGGGGAGAAGTGAGGCACTTGAGAGATCTTATGGAGGCGAAGGGGATCAAGAAAGTTCCAGGCTGTAGTTTGGTTGAAATGGACGGTGTTCTTCACGAGTTCACCGCAGGAGATGATTCTCACCCAGAAACTCATAATATACACCTGATGTTGGATGAAATCATAAAGAGGTTGAAAAAGCATGGTTATACAGGAAATACAAGTGAGGTCTTGCTTGATTTGGATGAGGAAGGAAAGGAGACTGCGTTATATGTTCATAGTGAAAAATTGGCAGTTGCATACTGCTTCCTGAAGACAAGCTCGGGCACCACAATACGAATTGTAAAGAATTTGAGGATATGCGGCGATTGTCATATTGCTATGAAGATTATGTCTATGGAATTCGATCGAGAGATTATTGTTAGAGATTGTAATCGGTTTCACCATTTCAAAAATGGGCTGTGCTCATGCAATGATTACTGGTAAGAGATCTCAAACCCAAAATGGAAGCAGGTGAAAGGAAATGTCATTCGTCACCCATAGAAGGTGATTCAATTTCTCATGAGGTATGGAGTTTGAATAAGCAATCAAGTTTGTCGGACCAGGGAAATTGGAAACTAGAGGCAGAGACCCGGGGAAAGATATGCGGACATAATGAAGTTGATACCTGTTAAAAGCAGAGACCCGGAGAGAAATTTGCGGAAATAATGGTTCAATATCGCTTGCATCTTCGGCAATCAAAACCTTAGATTCATTCTCTTCTTTGCCACAAAGTAAAAACGAGAGAGACCAAGTAGCAATGGGAGATCTATGCTGAAAATACTTCAATTTAAATAAAATCAATCAATCAATTACATTGCATTTAGAATTTATACTTTGATCTCTGTTATTTTTGACGACCAATCCGTGAAAAAATCTAGCTATTCAAACTCTGTTTTGGACACATACAGTTTTCTCACCTCACCAATCCAAGATAGTTAGCATTTATATCAATATTCATCAATCCATCAACCAATAAGCAAGAACTTCATTTCTTCGCCAAAATAAGTTAGGTACAATAACTTGATAAAGAGCACGAGAAAGTTAAAAAGAAAAAAGGAAAAAAATAGCGTTATAAGGATTTTTTTTTTTTGGGTATACAAAAGCGTTATAGGGAAGTTGAAAGCACAAGAGCGTTTTCCAATTCCGTAAATGGCCCTTCTTAGCTGTACTATTAAGACCTATCTGTAAATTAGGTTTTAAATTATAGGGAAAACTATGTCCTAAATCCTTATAGTTTTGGTCAAATTTGGTCAAGGTCCCTAGAGTTTACTTTTTAGGATGTGAATCCTTATAGTTTCAGTCAAATTGGATCAAAATCCTTCCGTTAACTAACAGTGTTAAAATTGATCATGTGGCAAATAATTTAATGAGTTGGCATTTTTTTAAGTTGACTGGGCTTTTTTCCGCCAGTTTGATGCCACCTCACGATTTTTAGGAATCCCCTTCCATCATTTGTGATTTTAACCGCAGTATATCGTCTTCTTGTGCTCCTTCTAGATCTGAGTTTCAGGTCCTTTGCAGATGAAGGCGATTTTAAATGAGTTGTTTAAGTGATGATGGAAGGCTGCACATCGCAATAAATAAAGGCATCAGACGCAGAGGGATCGCTTGGAATCTTGCATGGAGCAAGAAAATGGATACCAATACAATGATTGTGTATTATAGTGGAAGGAGTTCTTTCTCAGATCTATACCTCCATCTTCGTTTTTCCCTCATTCCTTTAATATTGGGGATTTAAACATGAGAGAAGGGTACTTGAAGATACAAGTGTTTCGTCTATTAACTTTAGTGCCTACCACCATCCCTCAACCCCTTCTTTCTCCCCCCCCCCCTCACAACTCTACGAACGAGGAAGACCCATTCTCATCTGTTCATTCCTTCTGGGTATGGTTTGAAAATCGCTTTCAGATGCTGCGAGGGCAAGAACAATCTTGCTTAGCTTCTTGCAGAGGTTGTCCTCTCTAGGCTCCTTCTTATTATTTTTTTCTCAGATCTATTACCTCCCTCTTCGTCTTTTCTCTTATTCCTTCAATTTGGGTGGCTTCAATCATGAGCAAAGAGTTCCTGAAGACCCAGGTGCTTCCTCTATCCCCTTCCCCACATTTTTACCTTATGTGCTTCCTTCTTTAGGGCCTTCCACGCAATGAATTCATCTAAGTTTATAGAATGGAAGAGATAAGTTTAATCGTCTCCTTTTGGACACCGCGTCCCATTTTGATGATAGATGTGAAACTCAGATATACCAGAAACACAAGAACGAGACGACCAGCTGGCATTCCCCGACAACATCAGCTTGGGAAAAAAAGCCCAATCATCATAAAGAAATTGCCAACTAATTAGTTATTTGCCACATAATCATTTTTTAACAGAGCTAGTTAACATAAGGATTTTGACCAAATTTGACTGAAATTATGAGGACCCATATCCTAAAAAACAAACTCTAGGGACCTTGACTCAATTTCACCAAAACTACAAGGACTTCGAACATAGTTTTCCCTAAATTATATTATAAAATATATCTTATATTTAAGACCGAATAAATATAAATTGATATTGGAAATTGAAACCCATAGTTTATGACATGCATTGTCATCACATGTGTCCAACAATGTTATGTTAAAAATCACAATAATTAACAGATTAATTTTCAAGAACTCTGACTAGCATCACGGTAAGAAATCAGTTACCTACCAAATGATTGCAGATTGAACCTCTACCTAGCGGCCCCGCATATGCTATCTACCTATGCACATACTCACGAAATTAACTCCAATTTGTCCCGGCTTGATATTTAATTCACTAAATCAATTTGCTTGTTCACACAATTAATACAATTCACGTGTTAATACTATTTTTAATTATTCCAACAAGCTCTAGTCAACAGATTATAGGTGTGATTATATTATCATGAGTATACTGCACACGTGCAATCCTTTCATGTCGGTATTTGCTAATTAGAGTACTACCTCTATTATTTAATATAAAAACTAGTTGGTTAATTTGAATAGATTAAAAAAATTAGTTAAGTTGTAATAAATCGGTGTTGTCTCTCCTAAGATACCCTTATTAATCAAGTGTTATTTGATGAAATATTTAACACACACAACTACTACAAGGACTAACTTGAGAAAAATAGATAAATATAAGAGATAAAGTGGATTACAATCTTATATTTAAGATCAAATTAAAAACCAAATAAGTTCTTATATTAAGGATTGGAGGTGGTATTATACTACTATCAGTCCTTAATATAAGACTTAGTTGACTAATTTGGGAAGATTAAGAAAATTAGTTAAGTTAGTTATTTATTATAAATAGGTGTTATCTTTTCTATAATATCCTTACTAATCATGTATATTAGCTAAAATTATCATTTGATGATCCATTTAATATGTGCAATTACTACAAGAATTATGTTGAAAAAAAAGAACAAATATAAAAGATAAAATAAATTAAGATCTTATATTTAAGATCAAATTAAAAATTAAATGAGTTGTTATAATATGATGAAAATTTAAATCTTGTCATCAGATGCGATTAAATCTCCACCTTGTCAATATATACCTAACTGTCTGCCGCATCATGATTCCTAGTTTTTTTTTTTTTTTTTGGTTTAACGCCGTAGGTCTCAATTTAATGATTTAATATATTACCTCCGGTCCTTAACATAATATTTCGTTTGATTTTTATTTTGATTCTAAATATAATACTCCAATTTATTTTTGTTTCTCAAGTTTATTCATTTTTTCCTAAAGTAGTCGTTATAATAATAATAGTTTTAACCAATAAACTTAATTCGTAAGGATGTTTTAGAAAATACAATATTTATTTATTATAAATAACAAACTTAATTTTTTTTATCTATTCAAATTAGTCAACTTATATTTAGAACCAGAAGCAATATTAATAATTAGCTGATTCAATAGTAGAGATTTAAAAGACTGATAAAAAGCGAGAGAGAGAGAGAAAGGCACATAGACCCGATGTAAAGCTAAGAAAAACAACAAGAGATGGGGTATTAATTTTTCTTATCAACCAATAAACAACATACAGTATGGTTAATAGCGGTTAGTTAAAAAAAACTTCATGGTTGATAGGACTTGCTGTTCATTGAAAATAAGAAGACTTAAAGAGTGTTTGAAAGCATCGAAAAGTGCTTCTGAAAAACACTTTTCGATAAAACGAGACAAACTTTTTCATATATTTACTTCGTATACTATAAAAGCATTTTTAAAATCATAATTTAGTTTCTATCCAAACAACCTCTTATTATGAGATTTCAAAGAATAAAGATAATTATTAAAAAATCTCAGTGATAAATGAGATTATTTTCTATTATAAAATTTATTATTATAAACTACTCAATTATTACTTTCACGGGACATTGTTGCAATTCTTCCTTGAAGAATCATTGTGGGCGTGGCAGAGTCCTGCCTTGTTAAGTAGCCCCTTTTGATGATGTTCAAAACCAAATAAAATTAATTGAAACATATCGAATCAACCCGAATAGGAACAATTGCAGGTCAGGCGTGGTTTAATTTTCATGACATTAAAATTGATGAGTTTAGTTTTTCTCTCCGTGGTTTTTTGTTTTTTTGGCTTCAATTTGTGATGAGTCAGAGCCAAACCGAATTGCTCAAAATAATAGTAGTCCTTTTATTTGGAGGACGTCGAGAATGATACTAATGACAACCATATATTACTACCAGGCTCGATGTTAGGCAGCTATTTTTCATAGGAATCTTCTAATGTTCCAAATAACTTGATTTTTGTGCCGAACTCAAAAAGGGACCGAAGCTGCTTCAGTACTTATATTAATTGCTAGGTGCCATGGGCTGGCAAAGAAGGAAGTAACTGATAACAAGAATCCAGAGAAGAACGGAATTAATAAAGTGATCGTGTTCTTTCGTTTTTTTGGGTTGTTGTAAAAAGAGACCGATCATGTTATGTTTTCTCATTTATTTTGTTTGTAGCATGAAGTCGATGGAGATTTCATTATTCGCATATGTGGACACCAGAGGTCACCACAGGACACACCCAGCCCTTTCCTTCTTGTTTTTTTTTTTTTTGGCTCAGAGTGATTATTATGCAGTGAAACTTCGGGCCTCCTTTTCCCTGTCGGAGTTCTTTTCTTTTCTTTTCTTTTTGTTTTTGCGGCGGAAAAAAGTTACAATGAGAAGAAAATATGGAGAATTTCATTTAACCCCTCCATAGAAATTTTATTTCAAAATACCCCATATAATTTTAAAATTTCAGAGCTCCTTTTTGGGATAAAGTAAAATTAATTCGTGAAAAAAAAAACAATGATAACCCAGAGGGAGAACACAAGAAATTTAATACATAAGAATTCACATCCAAGACAAAAAAGTTCACACAATTGGAGTAATTCATTATAAGTCAAAATAAGTAAGGAAGCTACAATTTACAAGTGAAATATGAGAATTTACAACCAAAACAAAATAATTCATAAGAAGAATAAAGTTATTTACAATTCGGTAGAGTCAATATCAATGAGTTAGGATTCGTAAGTGGAATACGTGAACTTATAACTAAGATAAGAGAATTTATGAGAAGAATACAACCGTTTACAGTTGGAATAACTTGCACCAAGTTAGAGAGAATTATAATTTACAAGTGAAATACAAGAATTTACAACCAAAACAATGTGATTTACAAGAGGAATATTGCCATTTTCAGCCTGAGTAAGGGCAATAATGTAATTTTAACCACAAAATTTAACTTCTTTTCAATTGTTGAGGTGGAATGAAAATTCAGATTATTTAGATTGTAAATGGAAATTGAGTATCTATAGAAGGGGCTAACTGAAATTTACTCAAGAAACTATTTCCGTGATTTATCATTTATCTTTTTTCGCACTTAAATTTTCATAACCGAAGAAGACAATATCGACCCAATTCAATTATTCATACTGTTTTAATTTTTCAATCTTTCAGTTTTGGCTTCATTTTTCGAAGTTCGGAACCGTGGCAATGTGTTTTAGCCAAAGCACAAAACACGATACACGAGTGAGCTAGTACAGAGTCCTTCATTTTCAAGTCGGAGGAGAATCACACGTGCGTCGATGGATAATAAGTTGTTGTATTATTGCAGTTGGCCAAAAAAAAAAAAAAAGAGGGTTGCATTATTGATTATTGCAGCGAAGCAATTTTTTTTTTTTTAATGATAGTAATTTTTTAATTTTAGCTCGCGTCTGAATGATTCCAGAATCAATTTGGTGATAAAAAAATCAGTTCTGGTATAAAAATGGGCAGGGGCTCCCGTGGTGGGAACACATTCACAGTACGTCTCTCTCCCGGTCCCTTGGAACGAAGGGATCACACGACTCGCAGGAAGCAGAAGCAAGGCGGAAATTGAAGGAGGGAGACAGAAGAGAGCCCACAAGAGCCCACGTACAGCGATGGTATAAACTAGATACAAACGATTTGATTAGGCTGGGCATAGGCATTATTCCTCCTCCTCCATTGCCTTTGCCTTCGCCTTCCTTCTCGGATCTGTGGCTGCCATCCGCCGTCCTTTATCCTTCATCATCGTCCGTCAGCCGTCGTCAGACAGACTTACGACGGCATTTGTCAGTCTTACCTTTTTTTTCCCTTAATTCTGTTCTGGAACTTGATCTTCCCCTGTTCCGGGACCACCGTGGTGATCTCATCTTCCAACTGAGTTCCGCTGTTTCAACTTCTGAATTCAGTTTCCTGCATTTGTTGGAAGTCATTTGAGTCGTCAATTTAGCCTTGAGAGACGCACGGAAACTTTGCTGGGCAGTCTTACATATCTAAAAAATAAAATACGACTCCCGAGATTTCTATTCACGAATAGTTTCAAATACAAATGATTTAGAAAACCTACACACACTTTTTTCCATGAATAGATAACTCACTAGCTTTTTGGAACTAAGTTAGGTAGCTTGTACCTTTACAGCCGGAACGAGTATTTGTCTTTTTTCTTCAAAATTCGACCATGCCGATTCGCTGCGAGAAATTGAGAGATATAAGTTCTCTAGTCTTTGAAGTTTGAATTAATTCGAGTTCAATTGTCTTATGTTTTGTTCTTGCTGAGTCTGGATTGCGAAGACATAAACAAAGGCTCAACCTCATCTCTTTGTCATAAATACTTAGCTGTTTAATTTTACCTTACTGTCTAAACTGGCTGGCTACTTTCTTTATTTTAATCTGATATGTATTAAGTTTGCTTTTGTTAACCCACTCATGAAAAAAATGTTTGCAAACTGGTCATGCCGTAATAAAGTGGGACATTGCTGAATATTATCAAATTATATTACGACCTGTTGTGGCAGATTTATTGTCTAACTATTGATAAGCATGCTTACAAAATCATCACATATATTATATCTGCATCTATTGATGGAATTCCCATTGTTTTTCTCCTTTCATAAAATAAAATAAAATTTTCAAGTCTTCAATTTCTGACACTACTTCAGTACAAATTTGCATGAGACAAGCTCCTCTGCACGACTAACTAATCCAATAAACTTTCTTGTTCTTTCTACTTGAATGGATATTACGTTTAAGCCTAGATAGTTTCGATGACCTAACTGTGTCTTCTTATTGAATTATTTTGTCAGGAATTCTGAACGCTGCAATCTGGACTGATTGGTGCGGTGCCGGCATTTAACCAAAGCAAGAAAGAATGCTAGGAGTTTCCAGAATACTGGAGCATGAGAAATGTGAAAGCTACTTGGTTTTCAGCGGCGAAACTGCCCTTGCAGACTCCTTCCGGACATTTTTATATTTTCTTGGTCTTGCTTATTGTTTCATTGGATTATCAGCTATAACTGCTCGATTCTTCCGCTCTATGGAAAATATTGTTAAGCACAAAAGGGAGGTGGTAGAAATAGATCCCGTTACTCATGCTGAAGTTATTAGACATGACAAAGTATGGAATTACACAATTGCAGATATTAGCTTACTGGCTTTCGGAACTAGCTTTCCTCAGATATCATTGGCCACCATTGATGCTATACAAAACATAGGAAACCTGTATGCTGGAGGTTTGTGTTGCAAAATATCCTTTCCCATGATATCGTATTAAAATCAAGTTTGATTTTATCTCTTAAGTTCCATAGTCAGATATAGATTTCATGTTTAGGCAAAATGGTAGCTTCACTTCTGCACTAGTTGTGGTTCTTGTGGCTTTTCCATTTTGGGTAATAAGTTCTCAATGCTATTTGTCATATATTTACTTTGGCATTACTCCTAATACCATATTTGAATAATTAATCGGGTGAGGCCATATATTTAACTACTCCGTCCTTTTTTAATCTCCTCACTCAGGCTTGCATTTGGTGAATAGTTTTTACTTGCATGTCAGCGATTGGGTTCTCATTGTCACACTTTTTCGCAACTTGTTATAACGACCTCTTTACAGAGTCTGAAGAGGCATCTGAATCTGGTTGTTCATGTTTCATAAGTACCATCACAGTAGCTTCAGGAAAAATATTTTATTTGTGTAGTCATAGAACGGTCACAACAGATGTGGACTGTCAAAAAATTAGTTTTTTACTTTATTTTAAAAAAATAAGTCTTAAATGTCAAATGTAAAGAAGAAAAGATTCATAATAAAATAAAGTAAAATAGAAATGAAAAAATCCGGATAATCTCAATTTAACAGTCTAAAATGGAAAGAAAAAAAAAAGAGCATGGTGCTACTATTTTTACAGCAGCCAAAAAGCTGAATTCTATAAAATAGTTTCAATAGTCTGAAATTACACTTTCTGAGCTTGCCATTTAAAGACAAAGAATACATGCATAAAATCAGCTATGTTTTGCGTGTGAAGTGATATTTTGTAGCATGTATTGGACAACACGGTGTTCTATGTATCAGGTGCAATGGATGGTAGGAAAGTGGAACATAAAATTGATGTCACTTAATATCTCATTATTATCTGTAACTTTGCTGAATATTCAGGTCTGGGTCCTGGAACTCTTGTTGGTTCTGCTGCTTTCGACCTTTTCCCAATCCACGCTGTTTGTGTAGTTGTTCCAAAAGCTGGAGAGCTAAAAAAGATTGCTGATTTAGGAGTATGGCTCGTGGAATTATTTTGGTCCTTCTGGGCTTACATTTGGTTATACATAATTTTGGAGGTAACAGTTTCAAAATCTAAGCAATGAACTGCTTGCTTTCTTCTTCTCTTTCTTGACGGATTTACTTCCTGATCTGTAAATACTCAATTTGATCCTTCATTCTTCCGAAGAGGTCTAATCCTGGTAGAATCTGTCATTGATGTGAAAATTTGGAAAGAGAGTGCGAGAAAACTTCAAAGACTATTTCTTGCTCTCTTGGCTGATAGGTGTGCTCCCCCCCCCCCCTTTTCCCGTCTAACGTGTATAAGTCCTTGTGCATCTCCTCAGGTTTGTGCTTTTATAGTACTAGGCACTACCATGCACCTTTGTCAGCGAGTAGTGCCATCTTATTTTCCTGTTTGCTTCTTTAACTATGAAAGAACAATTTTTCCTTGTGGATATTCATCAAATAGTCCAACATAGGTATGGACTCCAAATGTGGTGACTTTGTGGGAGGCCTTGTTGACAGTAGCGCAGTATGGATTGCTGTTGATTCATGCTTATGCTCAAGACAAACGTTGGCCTTATATTTCTTTACCTCTGTATGCACCTTTCCCTGTTTCCTTTTTATTAAAATTCACTCTACTGGTTGAGGTTTTGCAGTCCTTTAGTCTGATGGTTCCTTTGATATTTGAAGTGCAAGAAGTGAGAGGCCAGAGGATTGGGTGCCGGAAGAGACAGATTCTCCCAAACAAGAAACTCATGACTATGAGGAGTTCGCCGAGATCATTTATGACAGTGAAGAAAATAAGGATGTTGTCGACATTTTTTCCGTTCATTCAAAAAATGAGACTGGTAATTACCAGACGGGGCTTAATGTGATGAAGTGTTAGTTGTTAATCACAATAGTTTTTTTTTCTCCTGCGGATATATATGCTCAGCATTAGAAACATTCTAAATTATTTGAACCATCTTGTGTTACATTTATCTCATTTGCAGATCCTTTGTATCAAAGAGTGCCTTCAACAGAGAATGATGCTGAAACCATTGACGATGCTACGGAAACGGTGTTGGGTGATACTTATTTTCGTAGACTTTGGAAACAGCAGTTTGTGGATGCAATTATGGTAATTCGTTTTATGTTACAAACAGCATAGCTTCTGTAAATTAAATGGGTCATTTCATGGATTCATGGATGTTATTAACTAGATATTTGCGATGTCTGAGAAGGATAATAACTTGAAAGTTTTTTGAATTAACCTTGATAAAATGTATAGAAAGAGATTGATTATTGGCAAAATGTTTTGAAAACTCAGTGAATAGTTTGCAGAAAGATTAAAAGAATAAAAAGAATTACATAAAGCTCTATGGGTACATTGCTTATGACCTAAGAATGGTGCAGTTTCTTATAGATTTTATATGTTAATGATTGCTCTGTGACTCATTCAGAAAAGTATTGCACAACCGTGAAGATCTTCGGTCGAGATTGTAATTTACTTAGAAACAATAGTATTTGCTGTTTATTAGTATATTTTGTCATTTTATGTTGAATGAGTTATGAGAGGACGAAGTTTATACCTTTGATTTCCGGTGACCATTCTGCTTCTTCAACAGTTGGAAAGCAAAAATTCAAAAAAGCTGGACAACATCTATCTCCGCGCAGCTAGAATTTTCTGGCAATTGCTCCTATTACCATGGAGACTTCTGTTTGCTATTGTTCCTCCATGTCATATAGCTCATGGTTGGATTTCATTCATCTGCTCTCTACTTTTCATCAGTGGGATAGCTTACATCGTGACTAAGCTTACAAATATGATTAGTTGTGTTACAGGTTTCTTTCTCACTCATCCCTGCTTTCTAGTCCATTCTACTAGAGTAAATTTTTTATTCAAAGTCGTCTATATGGTTGTCAATTCTTCGTTCATTTGTTTTTGATGAGACCATCTATTTCTCCATCTATTTGTTGTGTCCCTCTCTCAGTTTTCCCGTTTTGCAGGAATAAATCCTTATGTCATAGCATTTACAGCATTAGCGAGCGGAACCTCCTGGCCTGATTTAGTAGCAAGCAAGATAGCTGCTGAACGCCAGACAACTGCGGACTCTGCCATCGCAAACATCACTTGCAGGTCTTCCTAATATGCATCTCACTCTGGGACATGTTCACATAATTGCATAATTTCGTTGAAGACGGTTCTCAGTCATATTCCTATAACGCGTCTAATTTTTACGGTGAAAAAAAAAAAAAATCATTACTTCGGATTTTTTATTCAACCTGTGTTTTTTTTTTCTTTTTCTTTTTGCCAACTTCTGATTCAACCTGTTGGTGTTACCGTATTGGCGTGATTACGTGTTTCTAACTTAAGAAAATCTTTAGACCAAAATCTTGATATTTTATTAGTTTCCCAAGTTAATCATGGCTGCTTTTACGAAGAAGAAATCAAAATTTGTGGGAAGCTCCTAACTTGATGTTATATTTGTTGCTTGGCAGTAATTCAGTGAACATATACGTGGGCATTGGGGTTCCATGGCTGATTGACACCGCATATAACTTTTTAGCGTATAGACAGCCTCTGCGGATCCAGAATGCCTCAGGCCTAAGCTTTTCATTGCTTGTTTTCTTCATTACCTCTTTTGGGTGCATCACGGTTTTGGTTATTAGGCGTCTAGTTTTTGGTGCAGAGCTTGGAGGGCCAAGGCGCTGGGCGTGGATTACCTGCATATACTTCATGTTGCTCTGGATCATTTTTGTTCTGCTATCTTCTCTCCGGGTTTCTGGGGTCATATAGAATTATATTTCAGTTTCTCTCCTTTTGCCTCATATAGGTTTATGATTTTGATTTGTGCATCCATGCTAAAACCTTCAGTCATATCCCTCCTCTTACTTCTCCACCTTTCGTTTATGTATTATGTAACCCGTGATTAGAAATGGAACGTTAATTAAATAGATTGAAATGATTCATCTTTTTGTTTTTCTCGATATTCAATTTGGATTTTTTTTTTCTGTTTTTATTGTTATCAGCACTCTTTTTAAATACTAAAAATATAAAAAATGAGTACTGACAAGATTAAAATTAATCAACTGTCGTTCTCTTCTCCCTCTGCGCGTGTTTGTTTTCTTCTCTTTTTTGCCCCTTCATTTCTAAAATTCATGATTCCTGATGATAATTAACCTTTTGCTTTTTCCGCCATCAGATAATTAACCTGTTTCTAATGTTTTTAATTATCGAAATAATACTCATCCTTTTCCAATTCATCAATCTCAAAATTGTAAAATCTTTCTCCACTGTTAAAAAATGTTAACAAACATTTAAAATCAATCTAATAATTGAAAAATGGAAGATAAACCTGTCTCCCTCTATAATAAGACATCCAATGTAGTGAGTTGGGTTTGGGCCAGCATCATGGTGCTCATAACATTAGTATGGTAAGATTTGCGTTACCAAGATATAATTTTCATGATTCAGATTTAAAATTTTAATTGAGTTGTAAATAAAATCATATTTATGAAATTGTATTTATTTTAAATTTTTTATTTATTAAAATACTAAATTATTAAAAATATAAAAATAAAGTGTATTAAATTTGGATTATTCGAGACGATGCAAATCGCAAAAAAGTATTTGTAGGGTCGAAGAATAATCGCACAAGTTTAGCATCACAAAATAAAAAACGTCATTTATCCATGATCACGCTGAAAATGTCGTTAAAATAAGATGGTAGATCTGATCTGATACCAAATACGTATGAAACGGACAAACAATTTTGCTCCGTTATTGTCATGTCTGGTTTCTCAGTATCTTCTATTAAAACATTAGCTAGATTCTTACTCAATAATGTCTGAGAAAAGCATGCATTTGGTGGTAATCATTAAAGACTCTGATGTCACTAGGTTTCGTTTTGCATTCGACGTGGAACATTGAATTTCTTGTCCTATCAGTGGATCCTGGACAAACTCAGAGAAATGGAAAAATAGGCGCAAGGCAGAATAAACATTTTAAAATATTATTTTGGGAAATAAAAATTCTGGCATATTAATTCTCAAAAGCCCCTGGTTATAAAATCGATCAGGCTTCACCTTAAGTATTTTCTAGATGAGTTTAGTATTTTAAAATACTTTGTGCTGTAATTTTGTTTTTAAAATATTTTTGAATGAAAATTTTGCTCTTAAATTTTTTAGGAGCAATTGACCGTCAACTTCTGAAAAATCCGTTAACCCAAGAACAAAATTGCATAAACAAATTACTTTTCAATGTTGTGTGACAATACTTTAGGTTGTTAGGTGCATTTTTACTTAATGATAAGATTAAAATTACTCCCACAAAATTCTTTCCGAATAAAATTACATCACAAAAAATTTTAAGATAGCAATTATTCATGTTTTGCGTGACTGTGCGAGAGGTGAAAAATTTGTTTGGCTGTCGATTCATTCCAGAAACAGAAGCAAGTTTTTTGAATGCGAATTTATGGGACTAGTGTGTCATGAATCTAACTGAACATATTGGCACGAGGGATGAAACTTGGGCGGAGAAAATCGCAGTGCTCTGCTGGCTCTTATGGAGACGCAGGAGCAGGAATGAAAGGGTGTTTGGAAATGTTGATCTGAAAATTGACACCTCACGAGTCCACCAGTTCTGCGATCGACGCAGCAAGCAGGTTAAGCTAAATGGAGCGAACAATCAGCAGACTCAAGCGCAAACCACTTCAATTCGGTCAAAGTATTTGTAGACGGTGCCTAGTCGGAACGATCAGATAAGGCGGCATGCGGAGGAGTTGTCCGAGACCGCCACGACAATTTGATTGAAGGCCGCAATGATACATACACATCGCAGTAGAAATGAAGTGCTGCAAAACCAGGAATATTCTGCACCATGACTGGCGAAAAGAGCCCTCACCGAGTCTAGGATCTCACTTATTTCATCCACTGTATTTAGTTCGTTGGTTCCGGCGCGACCTGTTAAGATTTCTTGCTGTCTGTTTTATTTCTCTATTGTCAAAAAAAGTTGTAATCCAATCTAAACCCTACTCCAATTTATGCCAAACCTCTCGTATCTTGAGAATTAGATGCGGTTCCCGAGCCCAACACTTAATTTGTGCGATTAAAACGAGTGTTTTCGGAGTGCTTCAATGGACCTGAGTTTTGCGCCTCAATTCTTTCCGATATTTCTTGTCTTGACTTTATCCTTCGACTACATTTACCAGAAGCATGTAACAAATGGGGAAGTGAAAAAGCTTGGTTCCAGATGGAATACATTTCACATTGCAACAAGAAAACGGAAGTCTTCCAGAGAACATACTGATAAAACTCTTCTAGTGAAGGAAGATAGGCGAAAATTGAAGCTAAGATATGCTATGGACAGAATGACCAAGTCCAATATCAAGCTTGGATACTCAGGCAACTTATTCGCCAACAGTTATAATAGGAGGGTTGGCAGCGGCACAGCCAAATCTCTGTTTCATACAACCGCCATCACAAGTCCCACAGCTACATCTACGCAACAAGAGATCCACAGCTTAAGCAAGTGCCCCCGTACATGCAGTTGCGGGAGCGCCTTCACGCTGCTGCTTTGCTGAGCTATATTTCTTGGTAATAAACCTGGACACAACCCACACAGACACATTTCACAAAATCATTCTGACGAATCAGCCATTCATTCTCAGGAAGAGTTTCCACAAACAATCACAGGAGAACAGCTTGCGAAGCAGTTTCATCAGAATATGTTTGTTTTCAATGAACTGAACAGAAATTTGGGAGAACCATAGTACGGAGCAAGCGTAAAAAATGCTTGTTGCCAGTAGATTACTGAGTAAACTAATACAACAATCAGAAGCATTTCATTTTCATGACTTCAAAAAAGGCGGACCAAAAAGCTATGATCAGATCATGATCCACAGGGCCCCAACATTTCTAGGAAAAAAGACGTGATAACCTCAATTGCAATTCGTTATCATGTAACAAAGTGTCACACTACATCCAAGTTCTAGAGATTGAGAGAGAGTAACGATTCAAATTACCTAAAGAAGTCCCTCCATAACAACTCGAACATCAACCAGTTTGTTCCGTTATTGGATATACTGCCGCCACCGTTGTTTTGGCTTGATGAAGCAGAAATCGTTCTGTCAGTCATGCAATTCAATTGTGAGCTTAATAGAATAAAGCCTATTAGCAAGTGAAGTGATAATGTAGATATCATTAGGAAGGAGTATTATCTGAGCGCGCACCTGCTGGCAGTCTTCTTTAGTTCATCAAACATTGTGCGTGGGGAGAGGCATCCCATCGCCAACCATGGAGAAATTTTGCAGGAGAAGTTGGCACCGTATATGCTTCCTTGTTTGCCATCTGCAAGCCCCTTCTGTGGTTGAGCTTCACACTCAGCTGCAAATTTTCTGAGCTTCTGCAATGCTTCAGTCTCCCCTCCTGCCATAGAAGTATTAGCAGCTGACTTCCCATTCTACATGATGAAAACGGCAATATAGTTATTTTCAGGAAAGGCAGAATCAAGTTCTTCTTCAGAACTAATATAGGGTCATATAGGGTCCAATGACTTCATTATAAACAATCCATGCTCATTCTCCATGACAGACAAGAATGCCAAGCAAAGATGAGGGCAGCATAAAAGTCAAGATTTAAAAGCCATCTGGATGTTAGAGAACACAGAATGGCAAAGATGATGGGATAACTGTCTGGTACAGCCCGAAATTCTGACCTAGAGGTTGAAACTCATATAGCATACCAGAATACGCAGCTAAGCAATCAAGACAAGATTTTGGCTGTCATTGCTTAGTGCCTATATCCAATGTGTCATACTTGTCAAGGGCAGAATCATTTAGATACATATTACAGCACCACAGTACTAGAAATCTCTTGCGAGCGGAATAACAATAACTCAACTTCCACTCTAAGATTGAAAAAAAAGAAGAAAAAAAAAGGGGGGACACTCGCTTCCATTCATATCTCAGCCAACATCCCGGTAAGTGGAAACAACCATTGAGACACCAAAATGCTTAGTTGGTCCAATTTAAGAGCAATACAAGAACAGGCATGCAATACATAATAATGTCTACAGGTAGACAAAACAACAGAGTAAGTCATAAGAGTGATAACGAAACAAAACCTGTGCCATTGCCGAGGATGGATTCAGGCCAAGGTCCACTAAGGAGGGAATATCCCCAGGTTCCACGTCTCCTCGAGATGGCAGTCCTTTCAGCTGATCCAGTGCCTCAATTGTCTTCCTTATCTCCAACTTTTGTAGTTTCTCCCTGAATCCTCCATAATTCGTAGGCATATCTTCCAATTTGAAAGGTAAGTCATCGACATGGAATAAAGTACTACCCCAGAAGTATTTAACCTCCACATTTTCTTCCTTCATAGCCGCTTCAATTCTCTCCTCAGCCTTCACCTCATCGTGGGAAACCTCTCTGTGTGCATACACAGCGTCAGCACCGATCGCCTTAGCTATCTCAACCAATACAGTCTCAGGCTTCCCAACTCTGACCACAAGATCAGACCCTCTTGCCTGAAGGTTCTTGCGAAGATTCGAGACCGATTCGATTAAGAATGTGGCACGGTATGGCCCGGTCTTATCGAACCCAGATGACGATTTGCCATAGTCTCTGGGATCAAAACAATAAACCGGCAAGACCGACAAGGATTCGTTGTTGGCGGAGTTAAGGCATTCATTATCGTGGACCCGTAAATCATTGCGGAACCATACAATAGAAGCTCGACGAATTGCGGCCCCATTGGAAGGGTCCAAGGGGCGGTGAGGACCCAAAGTGAGAGGATTCTGGAGGGGATTAGCGGAGATGGTGGGCTTGAAGGAGATTTTAGAAGGCGGAGGAGAAGAAGTAGTGGAAAGAGAAAGGTGTGTGAGCGAGGAAGCCTGCGTAGGGACCTTAACCTTGTTGGGGTGCGCCGAGAATAACGCAGAAGTTTTGGGTTGAGCGAAAAAGTGAGAGGGGAGACTAGTAGACAGAGAGAGGGAGAGTGAGGCAGTAGCAAATGGAGGTACGGTGGTTTCTTTGGAAGGCACTACGGCATGTGGGTTTTGTTCTTCCTCGACTTTGAGGTCTTGGTTCTCCGCCACGGGAGATTGGAATCCATTTTCTCTCAAGGATTTTGGAAGACGATCGTGGCGTCAAAGATAAGCCTCGCTTAGCGGTCTCTCTTGCACTCCCTCTATTTGTTAACTATGCAATTTCTGGGGTTTTAAAGAGGGTCTGGGCGTATCTATTGAGGATGACGTCCATTTACCTAACCTCTGATTATCTATCATGTACTGACTTCCAACTTTCACAGCCTTCGGTCCGTACAAAATCCAACGGAAATTGATATATGGCCATATGGGTACACTCACGCACTCTATTCTCCAAATTTTCTATTTTAACGCTTTGTTCTCGTGTGTTTCCGGGAATCATTTGCACTTGACGGCCATAACACCCTCAAGAATTTTAATTTTAATCAAAATCTCAAAAACGTTAAAACTTTTTGACAGCAGTAGATTGCTTTGATTTTTGTGGTTCACAATTTTAAAGGCTATCCATTGGCCGATTGTAAGGGAGCCATTTTGACTTCTTAAATATACAAGCACAACTACTGCGCTAAGGTTGCCCTCCTTTCGAAGGTTATTTTCAGTATAATATTATAAAAAAAATAAAAAAAATAAGTTTCAGAATATATTCCTTACGACTAAGAATGAATAGCAAATGCGTTAGGTGATTTGACTCGAGTGTTTTCCCTCTCCGAGGGATAAAAAAAGGAAAGAAAAAGAAAAAGAGAGAAAGAAATCAGTAGAAATTATTTTATTATATTTTAGACATATGATTATGATGATTCTGATGAGGAGAAACTGCAGCTCAAGCAGGGGAGAGGGATAACATTGTTTGACTCTCCTGGATAATGGATGCTATAAGCCAAAACCACATATAACCGAAGAAAGGTGAGCCTCCTGTTGGATCGGCACAAGCACGGCAACGGTTTCTCCATGTAGAAGAAATCAAGAAGACGACATCAGATAAAGCTTCAATTCGAAGGCGTCATTGGTGAAAGATGAAACTCACTCATTCGGAATGCTTTATGTATTTCGCAAAACCACCTGCTATTGATTATATGCGACCCCGACTGAGCTACTCCTTTACCAGAAAAGTCTGCGTTTCTGCAATGAAACTCAACGAGGACAATGACCCATTATTCCTCGCTGCCAGCAATTCTGCTTCTCTTCGTTACCAGGAATCGCATCGACCACGTAAATCAATCTCTCTCTGCCTTTCTGATTTATTTCGGCTAACTTTTATCTGGCTATCTCAGACATTTCATCAAGCATCTTGAAGACAGCAACCAGAGCATAAATGATATTTTATCACGTGTATAGTCACATGCACAGTAGTTATTCAGTTAGCTAATTTATGGTCAGTTGTAACTAGCTTAGGACTCCGACTACTTGTATATAAACTAACGATATCATCTACAATAAGAGAACACTTATAGTGTCACTTCCACGCAAGTGCAGACCCTCTGTTTGTGGACCCGTATGCCGATTGTCTTGTGCCTCCAAATACTTCGAAGGATGCAGACCAAGACTCTCACCCTTATTGTCTTGCAACTAAATTCATTGATGATAAGCTACTTTGGACTGTTAGCCATATTGATGGACTTAAACAGGTAATTATAAAGCTTTGTCCCCCCCTATGTAACCTTCGTTTCAAGTTTTTGACGGGGTTCTTGCTCTAATTGCAGGCAGTTTTGTTGACTGATGGTATGGATACACGGCCGTACAGACTTAGTTGGCCTCCTTCAACCAGGCTATTCGACATATCGCCAGAAAGAGTATTCCAAACAGCAGCTGAGAAGCTTGAAGGTGACATAAGCTGGCCAAATCAAATGATTTTTGGTCTGTGAAGTAAAATATTTATGCTAACACTGTCTAATATTGATCTTGAGGACAATGGTGAGAATTGGAATGCGCTGTTTACCCGAATGCACTCTAGACGTGCCAATTATTTACTTTTGAGCGTTATGACTGCTAAGTCCATAAAACCAAGGTTTGCTTCTAGGTTAGGAAAGTTACCTATAGTTGCTTGTCTTAGAAAGTTCAGGATCCTATAATGTTGTATATATTGTTTTGAGGCTTCTTAGCAACCTGTTTTATTTTGCAAGCAGTCGTTTTTTCTCTGGTAATGCACATAGACCTAACATAATACTCTTGTAATCGAGAAGGTGTGCTTGCTTGTTTTTAATTATTAACGCATGCAACGCGTTTTCATTCTGATTTTACAAGACTGCTTTTTTTTTTTTCTTCTTCTTCTTCTTCTTCTTCTTCTTCTTATGGGTGTGTTTTGGGGGGACCCTAGTGGATGGGTAGGGAGGCACATGGGATCATCTAATTGCATTTTTTTTTCCCTTTAAAGCTTTCAGGTGTTGGGGCTAAGATTCCTAGAAGTTGCTTATACTTGCATGTACCAATGGAATCATCAGATTTAAAGCAAAGTTTGCATTCCAAGGGCTTTAATGGCAGCAGGCCAAGCGTGTGGATCATGCAGGTGTCTAAATCTATCAATATTTGAAACACCAAAATCAGAATCATTTTCCAGAGACTAGTATTTGAATATGATTTCCATCGGAAAAAAAATGGAAGTACGAAGGGAAGAAGGCCCTGTTACTTGAGATAGTCGGGAAAGTTATGTAGTTTTCTTCTTGCAGGGGTTTCCTATAATGACATTGGCAAATTTTGAAGACGTTTTGTCAATGGTAAGCAGTTTGGCCATGAAGGGATGCTTATTTGTAGGAGAGTTGCCTGGCTGGTTAGCTGAGACAGGAACAGGAACCAAGGTCAATGTGCAATCAGTTATCTTTTTCTTTTTTTGGATTTTTTTTTGTCAAAATCCGCAATCAGTTGTCAAGTGTCATCAAGTTTAATTCTAAATGATTTTCTTCGAAAACAGAAAATAAAAATCTTTTCTGACTCCAGGCAGAGTTCAGCACTTGGCAATGGATGGATAGACTGTTCATGAGCAATGGCTTTCGGGTGGAATTGATTAGTGACGAAGAAATTGCAGAAAATGCAGGCAAGGAATTTGCTCCAAGACGCTCCACTAATATGCTGTTTGTGGCAGAACAGCTACGGTTTTCTGATGATCAGGTGAAGCATCGAATATATTATTTAGTCATAGGGGTCCGTTTACACCTTACTGAGGGACTGAGATAGTTAATTGACCTCAAGATTATTGCCTTTGAAGCATATTCTTGGTGCAGACATGTGCACTTCCTCTTTTTCTATACTTACTCTCTCTCATCGAATAATTCGAGTCGCTGACTTGCCGGCAGATGGAAACATGGAGAAGAGAATTTCAAAGGGTGGAAGATGAAGGGGATGAAGAAGGTTTTGAAGAGCTGTAGCACTTGTATTTTCAACCCAGGCAGACAAGTCCAAGGTCCAAAAAAAAAAAAAACATATCCCTGCCTCCGTTTATGAAAACCCTGAGTTCTTCCTTTTTTTTGGCCTTCTAGATTTATTCCCTTAATGTTACGGATTTGTGCACTTTTATGATAAAATGAAACCAAATATATCTTTTCGTTGGATGATAATAGCTTAGAAGTTTGTTTTATTATCATACTTGTTTTTGCGACATAAATGTTTTTCTATTTTAAGATATATGGAAATATGTTGAAAGGAAAAAATAAAATTGCGCAGGTAATTATTATTAATAGTGCTTATAAATAGTTTAACTTTTCGTTGCGCGGAAATTGGGCACAACTTCCAGGTTCTAGAGTTGAATTGCAGAAGCCCATCCCTCGATTTCTTCTCTCATAAAACGCTAGCATTCGCTCTGAGCCCATATTTTTCAAACGAAATGAGGATGTAGAAGTCAACCAAAACTGGTTAAATTGGCAAAAAAAATTAATCCATACAGTACAGATGCAAGGTCAGATTTCATTTCCGGAGCTGAAAGCCTTATAGGTGGATATTTTATAAATAAATTTTTTAAAACTCTGAAGCCGGTCATAACCTTGATGAAACTCAAAATTCATCTGAACTTAACTTATCCAAAAGAGAAGCCATAAATCAAACGTGGAAGTGAAAATTCACAATGAACCCACCCATCAATACTGTAACAAGGAAAAGATGCCAGTAACTACGTGCACTTAAAGAGGGCTTTTGTCAACTCATCGAAGGCATATGTGAATTGCATGGCGCCAGTTCGTCATACTACAGATTACAGAATAATTACGTACAAAGCGATCACTGCTCACATCTACCAAACAGCGAATAGGAGAGCCCGTGCCAACGTGCCATCCACACTACGAACAATTTAAAAAAAAAAAAAAAACACACACACACACACACGGAGTAATATTATGTGCCCCGGCCACCAGCCAAAGTACCTGCAATCCGACCAGCCTTTGCCATTAAAATACATTAGTTAAGTATTCGACTGAGAACCCTTTGTCGGAATTACAAGCAACATGTGCAGCCGACTTGCAAAGGACGATGGCAGCATAGAGGATCCGCCGATGATGACACGTGCATGCCATATAGATAACAAACTGTTTATAGTGAAGGCCAAGAAACTTGCCCTCCAGGGTCAAGAGTATCAGCAGAAATTTGAGCCGCTTTGACCTTGGCAGAATGACCTATTCCTGATTTAGAACAGGGAGTGCGGGGCGTGGTCTTACAACATTTAGCACGCCTCTTGCAGTTGCCTATGAAGTGAAAAAAAAAAAAAGAACAGCCATGGTAAGGGATGAGATAAGCAAGACAGATAAACTACTTATAAACTGAGGTCCGCTGATCTCATGTACCTCAAAAAATGAATTCAGATTTAACCGCAAGAGAAAACGTCTTAGAAATGGAGCCCGCTGACTCCCAGCTAGCCTGCTGCTGCGCAGTATTGTGTATAACGAATTTGATTTCTTGTTGAATTCCTGATACAAGTTTGAGAGAACAGTAATGAAAAGATGACACCATGTAGCACGAAAATCATGGCTCAAGGTAATCACAGGAGGATGACTGATTCTGGTTCTGGAGATAGGATGCGCAACTAACGACCTGGGGAAGTACAATAAAATGGGGGGAAATAAAGCAAATGGGGAAAAATGACACAGCAAATGAGGGGTAACTTCCAGGCAATAGACCTGCTC